ACCATTAAAAAAAAAAAAGCAGGCTGAGCAGGGGCCAGGGGAGCAAGCCCATAAGCAAAGTTCCTCCATGGCCTGTGCTCCAGCTCCTGCTTCCAGGTTCCTGCCCTGAGTTCCTACCTTGGGCTCTCTGATGAACTGCGACTTGGGAGATATAAGCTGAATAAATCCTTTCCTCCCCAAGTTGGTAGTGGTCATAGTGTTTCGTCACAGCAATGAAGAGAACAAACCAGAACAGAAATTGGTACCAGAGAGTGGGATACTGCTGTGACAGACCTGACCTTGGTGTTTTTGGGAGGGCTGTGGAAGTGTTTGGAACTTTGGGCTGAAAAAGCCATTGCGTGCTCAGAGTTTGTTGCTGTGGATCTTGGAACAGTTATGTTGAAAGAAAGAGTTGTAGACGATGGAGGCCTGGCTTGTGAAGCTTCAAAGGGAAGCAGAGACTAACAGGGATGTTCGTATGAGATTCTGGATTGAGAATCTGTGGGTTCTGGTCGGCTGGGGCTTTAGAATCAGCTATGATTAAGAGACCAGAACCTAAAGTAAAACCTTTGCCTTACTGAGACAATTGATGCTGGTTAGCTGGCGCTGAAAAATCAGCTGTAAGTAACAAGAGACCAGCATCACTGTGGTGGAGTCTTCTGGGAGGTATTTCCTCAGGGTCAGCATACAGAGGGGACCCAAGCCTCTATCTCTAGCTGGAAGCAGGACTTGGTAATGTGTAAGAGTCTCCTGAATGGTTCTGGTGTTGAAAGCGTGAAGGGGTCACAGAGAGCAGCTGAGGCTTGGCACGCAGAGGCCAGGAAAAGCCATAGGTGAAAATGCAGCTTCAGTTGCAGTGAAGACCCTAGGATTGAAGGGGTCATGGAGAGAATCTGAGGCTTTGCACCCCAAGAGGCAAGAAGAGGTCATTGGTGAAGGTGTAGCCTCAGTTTCAGTGGAGACTACAGCTTTTTGGAGATGCTGGGGCCATGGGACGACCACTAAGGACAGCAGTAAGGGTGGAATGGATCTGGCCTGGGTCTGCAAGATGAGCTGAGTGTGCTGTGGACAGCAGAGTCAGAGCAGTGGAGCTGCCAGAACCCTTTGGAGGCCAGAAGATCGTGAGTGAATCCCAGATGTCCAGCCTTGAGCTACTTTGCTGGACTTTGGTTTTGCTTAGGTGTGCCCGATTCTTCCCTTTGAAATAAGACAGTACTTGTTTTGGATTTTACAGAAGCCCACCCACAGTTGAGACTTTTAAGTGTTAG